GCAGAAGAGGGAAACATTCTCGACGGGCGTGAAATTTCGAATTTTGGCAAGAGTCTTACCGATTGAGATTTGTGCACGCCAAGACTTCGCTTGCGAGAGTGCAGCTGACACTTTAAAAACAAGTCAACGATGGAAGGTGCCGTGGTCCGCCTCCTGGTGGTGTTCTCTGGTATAGTTTGAGTAGCCTGGGCACCTACTCCACCTGGGAAGGAGACATCTCAGATTACATTTCGCGGGGAGAAAAGTTGATGGATGACGGGGGCATGTCTGGATAACTCAGGGCTTTTGAGATGTTTCCCTGGGTGGGTATTCATGGAAGAGAGTTGCCTTGGGATGAAGAAAAAGCTACCATAACTTCGCAGTGGTTCTTGTTGAAATTATGGAGTTCAGAGATGAGTCAGGTGATGCTTAATGGAAGTAATTGATGAAGGGTTTATTTTTTTTTTTTTTTTTTTTATTATATTAAAGTCCTAAGCTAAGGCTCTAGGTCCACTATCGGTACAAGACTGGTGGAGCCGGCGGGGATCACTGCTTACAGGCCCAACTCATTCCAACCGCGTGACCCGCTACAGAAAAAGTAGCAGGTAAATTATAACTCAGAAACTGTAATCAAAAACTAAAATCAAAACTAAAAGCCAAAGACTGAAATCAAATTTACAAGATTTTTCATGTGGTCCGGATCCTGCGCTTCTCGCCCGTTCCCTTTCCTGCCACATCTTCCAAATGACAAATTTACTCAATCTCCGCTGAGAGCAAGAGATGAGATAGCAGGCACTTTTTATCCAGCCGGTATCCTGCTATTGGTTAGAATATGCCCCAAAAGGGACCTCGTCGAGGTTGCTGTGTCCTCAAACTTCTTCTTCAAATTCCAGAACTCCGAAACCTGTAGCGTCGGCCATCGAGACGTCCTTTGCAGCGGCGGTGATTGCCTCTTCAGCCTTCTTTGCTGTTGCTCGTGCTCGTGCCACCTTCGCGATCTCCCCTTGTTCGATGTGGCGGATCCACGCGAGCTGCTCTTTGGTCACCGGTCCAGACTTTCTGGGTCTGACTTTGCAGTCCCGAGAATCCGATCGGTGGGGTCCCCCACAGTTGCGACATTTTGTGAGGGCCTTGCACTCGGCTTCCGAGTGCATGTTTGATCCGCAGTTCCAGCACGCTGGGGCGCGGGAGCAACCACGGGTGGCGTGGAAGCCCAAACAGCGTTTGCACTGTTCAATTTGGCGACGAGGCTGGATCTTTGTAGCCGCTCCGGACTCGTCGAGAATTCGGAAGCCCGCACGAGGGGCGGAGTCCCGGTTGAAAAGGGCATACCAGTTTCTGTATGGCGCTCCAGGACGACATGTCCCTTGCGGTCGCACCTGGCATGGACGTCGTTGTGTTTTGCGGTAAATCTCCAGTGAGATCCTACCGGCATCGACCGTCTCAATACGGTTAATTAATTTTATAGTTGCTGGAACATTCGCGATCCGAAAGGCGACAAGGTTGGAGGCTTCCTCGATTGTGGCATTGAAGTCTGACAACTTCGGTGAGGCATCTAAGAGCTCTTCCCTTTCATTTTCATCCGCTGTCAGAATCGCAAATCCGGTTCTGACACAGTGTATAGAGCTTTTTTCACTCAAGGTGTACAGTAGCCTACAACATAATTGATGCTGTATGCCGTCAGGCGAAAGCTGGCGCCATGGGTGATCGCTCTCTAAGCGAAGGAACAGTCGTTTGTCGACTTTAGCCTTCGGAGCTTCTTTATTTTGGGCTTTTGCCGCAGGTCGCGGAACAGCCTTTACAGTTGGGACTGCTTTTTGTTGCAGTCCATTTCTGGCCACCGTGGCCCAGGTGCTTTTTATAGGCAGCGCTGGGACGGCGGAAATCGTTGTGCTCCTGACGTCGGGAGCCCTTGGGATCGGGTTCGCCGGGCGAGGAGGGAGGACGGGTGGCGTGGAGGCCGGGCCCGTGGCCATGTATTGCGCGATGGCTGCGCGTAGGTAGACTCTCATCGAGTCTACAAATTGTCTGTTTGACCCGTTGGTCAAAGGAAGAAGGGTGACTTCGACGCCAAAGATGGCGGCGGAGCAGAGGGCCAGATTTGCCGCTGTTTCGGCGGCACGTCGTTGCTCGGCTTCGATAATGGGTCGAAGTTCCGGAGGGCAGTCTGCTTTCGTGGCAGCTTTGGGCTGCGACGTTGATTTTGACGCTGCTTTGGGTGCAGCGTTCTCCGACAGTTTTGGCGCGGTCGGGGGAGATTTTGACGATTCTCCAATCCCGTGGGGGACGGAGGATGGTTGAGGAATTTCCTCAATAATTTCGACTGACCCGATCATGTCAGTATCGGGTTCAGCGACGGCGGGGAGGGCTTTTTCCTTCCCTTTGGTTGAGACCTTGCTCATCTCCGCGCATTTCGGAGACTGGGCAAGGCCAGGTAATTGTTGGAGAGCCCTCGGGTGGACTCTCGTGTTGTCCAACTTGACGTTGGGGCGCTTTTTGCGAACTGGAGGCATGGTGAAATGCCTGAGCTCGATCACAATTCAGAGATAGATGCGACGAGGTCGAGAAGGGAGGAAAGAGGGAAAAAATGAATTTTCGAATTTCTCGAATTGATGAAGGGTTTGGTTGTTGAGTTTTCTATGATTTCTGTGTTGGGATACACTATGTCGATCCTACTGGGCTCGATAATTAGTAGTCCCGGCCGACTGGTGTTTGGCGAACGGAGATTGCGTATACCCTGTGCTAGCGTTGTTTAGTGCTGTTAATAGGAGATCCCGCACGGGCTATCTATTGGGGTTAAAAGGAGTCTGGTACCTGTGTTTAATAGAGTAGTCGAATTGACATCCTTTTATCCTTCATTATTGCATAAGCTTCCCTTTACCAATAAAGTCCACGAACTAAGTAGTGGGCTATACATTTCAATAGTTCTTGCAAATGAAATCCGAGGCATGAGTGCTCTTCCCATTCGTTGAATCATCTATTCTGTACTTCTCTTTGATATTTTGTCATAGCTAGATAGCTGCATACGCAATTAAAATCTGATGCAAAAAAAAAAGATCACAACAGACCTTTACATACAGATATACATGTACATTAAGGGCCTAGTGATATTGGTATTCAAGACGCACAATAGTAAGATACATGGATAACTCGACAGATTAGCTCCTCTAACTACATGCCTTACGCTCTACTGATTTTTGTCCAGGTCCCAGTCATCTTCATGTAATGCGCGGTGACTGATGTGTACGACCGTTAAGAAGGCGCCCCAGAAATTTGTGGGAAGCGCAATTTGAGTAGATTTCGAGAGGCTCTTCTTTACGGCCTCCAAACCTACATTATTTATCTTACTTGGAGAAATATTTTGGGCTATTTCCACCCGCTCTCTTGTGATTGGTATAAGCCTTAAAAGCTATAATAATCACTTCCATGGTAAGTCATGTGGGAAGACTATATTGACCTAGAATGACGTAGCGATAGGGTGAGGTTATAGAAGGATGTTGAACTAGAACTTTCAACACTCGGAGTTTGGACTGAGGCCCATACAAGTTTTTCCGGAAGACATGAACTTTGGGTGGAATGTTTCATTATGAAGTTTGGAACAACCAAACTCAGATTTCTTTCGCAGGTGCCATTCGAAGTTAGCCCTTACAGCATGTAAAACCCTCTGTGGGCACCCACCACAAGGAAAGGCGTGAAAGCTCTATGGTTATCCAAGCCTGCTGATGTCATCCTACAAATACGACATCACCGCGAGAGAAGTAGTTTATAAGCCTTACTGGATTCGAACCAGTGATCTCCTGTCTTGATTGAGATTGATGTCAAGGCTATCCGGACTTTAATTGGAAGACCAGCCCAGATTATGTGCTACTGCACCATACAGCCATGACCATACTGAGATTGTTGCTTGGACACTGGGCATCAAAAGCCTAGAACCCAAAACGGTTCTCGGGTCGTATAACTACTGACCAAACTTCAGGTTTAACTCATTCCTGAAATTTATAAATCTCTTGCATCATTATGTCCCCTTGCCCTGATCCCTCTCGGATTTTCACACCAAGATTTGTATCCTGCAGATATTGACATTTTTGACAGCTGTTATGGCCAGCAAGCCGATAGATTGCCGGTCGCCTATGCTATGCAGTACAAGCACATGTCCTTCCATAGTCATTGACTTTATAGAACAATAAACACATACATACATACACAATTCAGCACAGGCATTTTCATAACTTCCTCACTTAGTTACGCTCGTATTGAAGTTTTGCACAGCGCGTGCACGAAACATTGTTGGTAACTAGCCCACACTTGGAAAGTGGGAGCCCGAATGGAGGATAGCTACCGGTGTTCGGAATACTGGTCATATATATGAATAGGGCGCTGCATGTAGCAATAGGTTTCTACACCAGTTAATAAATTAACTTGCCTTTCTACAAACAAACGCCCAAGCTATATATACGGGAAACGTTACATCAGCGTATGTTTGGAAGGCATTTGCAATCAGAGACTAAGTCGAGGAGAGGTGTAGTCACTGAGATGAGGACGTACTAGATCGTACTTGTTAACTTGAGAAGCTTTTGATCGGGAAATATCTTGCTTAATGTAAGAATCTGACCGGGCCTATTTAATTACTACTTCGTGGGTTTACTAGGTTAGAATTCTTGACTGAAATCGGCTCTGGTAAGATGGTTTACTCCAAAGTTTGAAGTAGATACCATGGAGAGGAATCCGGTTTTCGTTGTCTGAGATTACACTCAAAAGGACGATGAACAATAAGGCAAAATAAAACAGTCTTATTATTACTCCAAAAATTTAATCTGGCCGAAAATAGATCCAATGATCAATGGGATACAGCATACAACGGCATTATGTCAGTCTGAATGAGAGCAACGGATTTTGTTTCGCAGGATTCCATCTCCATTTACTTTGGTTTTCAATTGTACTTGATTGCAAAATCTACTAGTCTACAAGCAGCTTAATATAACAGATAGAATAGATAAAAATATCTGTCTCAATACTTATATTCACCAGCTAGTCACCTCTCGTCGTCGATCAAAGCCGCCCCTGAGTTGTTTCTCGGGGTTTACAACTTTCCCTTGAAGGACCGTAAACTTAATAATACCCTCGCAATCTCCAGGCTTGACTCGTGCAAGCCAGATACATTGTGCAGCCCCTTCAAGCGTTTTATTCTCTTCTTCCAGGCGAGGCAGTAGCTTTCCCTCGACTGTTGCACGACTGATTTGGTCAATGCCGAATGCGTCTTCTTTTCGATATATCAAAACATTAGCAGAGTATTTATGCCCACCAACATGTGAGATGAAGTATATGCCAACACCGCCGGGCCTTTCATCATCAAGGTTCCGGAACAGTCCATATCCCCTCAGATGCCTCTCAAATTCTTTCCTTAACAGTGGAGCACTCTGTCCGCAGCGAGAATCTCTTTTTCCTTGAGAACACAATAGAATAATCGCACTGTGCGGGCAGGGTCTGGAATGTAAGACGTCGGCGCCGGGTATTGAAGTCTCCAATGATTGTGGTAGTGTTAGTGGTTCTAAAGGTGCGCTGGTTGTGGGACTTTTATCGACAAAATCCGTAATCAGCTTATCAACTGATTTAGGAGTGACATTTTCGACTATGGTCCAGGCAGGTAGAAGAAGCACCGTCGTGGGACCCGCATAACCATCGGAAAGAGGGGGTATAGGGATGTTAGAAGCTGATAGCTTTAGTTTCTAGTCAAAATTCAGCCCCGCTATGTTTGGAGTTAAGAGTTGAAAATAACAAACCCCATTGGAAGGCTTAATTTCTGTATTTTCAATTGCTTCCATTACACTTCCTACTTCATCTGATACGTTGTGCACCCAGTCTGATTTTCCAGTGGCAACTAAAATGTGCGTGCTCCATTCTTTGATATTTCCATACAGCTCATCATCTTCGTCGATGCTGAACCCCCTGGGGTATTTTATCACGCAGCTGCTACAATCAGAATTACAGTCTATACCATCAGTTTCCTCGACAACCTTTGGGAATATAAATTCCCTGTCACATGGAACGGATTCTTGTAATGGTTGCTGAGATTTTTTGAAAATAGAACTAAATATGGCGGCCATCTTTCGTCAATATTTAGGGGTTAAGTCGATGCACTGATTTAGTAAATTGTTTGGCAGACCATTGAATACAAGTACTAACATGTCTATAAAAGTTAGTGACTAAGCTGCATTGTGCAGGGCTCATTGGAAACGTTCTTCTAGCGGTTACTTGGTACTTTGATGCGCTGTAGATTTCAATCCACCCCGCGTTTTCCGGTAACTGCTGAGTCAATACACCCCCGCGAATGCACGACACATAATCTTACTCAAGCCCCAATCATCCTATCACCATCAGTGTCTAATCCAAGCCTTCGTAGCATTATTTACATAGTATTCATACGGACGGCGCATCAGATGCCTACATTCATAGCTCTCAACACGTGTCATGCCACAGTAACCAGATTAGTTGATATCGAGAATATCATTTGTCAAGTTGTGATAAAACTCTTTGGCCTACAATCCTCGGTACAATCTACTTGTATTTTTCCTCTAAACACCTTTTGTTGACTACAGGTCAAGCCCTCCGTAATAATAACAACAACAGATTTTCCTGTCAGAGGAGTATGGACAGAGGTCTAGCAGCTTATATTAGATGATCGGTAACTCTGCTCTACCATTAGGAGACCAGGCCTGAATTGACAGGAAAACTCGATGATCATTCAGTGCCACTTACTCTATGCCTCGCAAGATCATAATGTTTGCAGGTTCACCGGATGCACGTTCACTAGACTGGAATGAGTCTGGATTATTAAACAAACTACAACCATTCATGGGACGATTGTGTGGGGTGAATGCTTTGTTGAGCTCTGAGATAACAGTCAGCCTCCACCCCAGCTGGCGCCTTCTCTCGCCTGGTCCTGCAAACAAAGAAATCTCGAATCCTTGTGGACACTTAGTTTTAAATTCATTGCTACACGTTAATTCGCAAACAGACTCCTCCTTCAGCACCCTCCTTACCGACTCTATTCTTGATATTTTATCAGAGAGCTCAGAATTTGAAAAAGAAAGTATCGAAACAGCTGAGCGTTTATTGTGTGATTTTTACGAGGAATCATATTCCAGAACCGAAGAAGGCTACCCCTCATTGTCTACATCTACCCCAAGTACAAAGGGCTCAATTTCGAGCGAGGATTTCCCTTCAGATGTAGTTCCAGCTTCCCCAGTAACCTCCGCTAACGTGGACATTCCCATGGGTGGTCATCTGACTGATCTTCAAGAATTTCCGAATTCTTCATATTTGAATTCTATACATCCTCAAACTATGACATTTAATGTTGTAGTTGGCCTCATTTCAGTACCGGAGACTAGATTTGTAAAAACCAGGAGAGGCACAACTGTAGAGTTGCTTGAAGTACTAGTGGGAGACGAAACACAGTCTGGATTTACGATTAATTTCTGGCTTCCTCCTGTATCCCGTCAAATTAACCAAAATCAGCCAGGCGAAAATATGAGATGTATCTTGAGCAAATTGCGAGCACGAGATATTATACTACTCCGAAACTTAGCTCTTGGAAGCTACTGCGGTAAAGTTTATGGACATAGTTTGAAGAAAGATATTACAAAAGTTTATTTGCTCTATAGAAGTCGATTTAATCATAATGACATAGGAGGCTGCTATCGTACTGCCGATATTTCAAGCGATAAGACTCCAAGCACACATGAACCGCAACTTCAGAAGACTAGGAGGGTTTGGAAATGGGTTTCACAATTCGTTAGCGTAGGCCTTTTAGCTCCAAGCAAATCAAGGGAGAAATTTCAAAAATTAGATGAAGAATTGTTACCGCCCGACACGCAATGATCTTATTTTAAATTTAGAAATTTAACAATGGCCTTTGGACAGGAGTTTTAACTTCTGCCTAATTGAAAAGTAGGAAGAACGAGAGTTGATGGCCGGTGTATTGCCCTGCAAAACTTGATCAAAAAAAAAAGCTCAAGGCACGACAGAAAAAGGAAGGGTGGAAAAGTACTGTCTATCTTCTACATTAGACCTGACTCGAGACATGGTAGGCTAGTGAATTCTGTCTCTAATAAGCCGACTCAGGTTTGAGCTGATGCAACTCTAGTTGTATAAATTACAAGAATTCCGCGGGTAAGAATCATCATCATCACTCATGGAAGTAGGATAAAGCATTGGCCCATGAGACTTGCTTTCATAGGACAAGCATAAATCCTATAACAAATGATAGACTCAGACTCTTAAAATTCTGTCTGAACTGTTAGTTTTGTGTAGAATGAGGGTTTCTTAAATACCTGCGGATTGACAGATGTTTCAAACCCAGTCCTATTCTAATTTAGCTTTATGCCCAGTAATATTTCCCTAACTTCATCCACAAGCGGTTCTTGGAATTGTTGAAGCTTTGAAAGTACTATATTTTGAGCTTCCATGACGTTCAACAATTCTACCAATTCGCAATCAGGAGGTATACAAAACGAGAAGTTAGACAAAGCTAGTAGATAACCTTTGAATGCTTCGGGAGAGGTTTCTTCCAAGGAGATAGCTTCAAGTAGTGAGGCTACCAATTCGACTTGTTGAGCTTCAGAAGGGACAGCATGTTTCTCTTCTGAGCGAGTGGTCCTTGCTATCCTCGAAATATTGAATGCGAGTCCTGCTGCTGCTACTCGTACGTTTGTATTCTGTTCATCAAGTAAACCAGTCGTTACCAGTTGAACTATTGACCTGATCATGGATGGAAAACTGGAAAAGCTGAGACTGTAAGAGTAGTTGGTGAAAATATTACATGCTAGTTGTGTAGTGATCAGACGAAGAGAATATGGACAGTTTTCGAGTGAATTGACGTGAGAAAAAAGGCTTGCAAGAGTTTTTTGGCCTTTTTCATCGGTGTAATAACTGTACAACTTTTGATCAACTGTACAAACGCGAAGAAGATCGGCAACTGCAAATAAATCTGGAGGGGCTAGGTTAGAAAGTGAATTCTCGAGAGACTTGTTGAATGAATCAAGGTCAGGAAGTGAAATCTCTTGGGTGTGGCTCTCAGATCGGGTTGAAATAAACCGTAGAATATCCTGTACGCCCGCTTCCTGTACGAATGAGCCCAACTTGACCTTGAGCTTTTCTAATGGCGGTAATCTTGCAAATGAGACGGGTTGGTTATTAGCAGAGGACAAAATAGGTAAAGAAAGAGCCTCATGAGGGTGGGAAGGCCAGGCTATTCGTAGTAGCAAATCAAAGTTTCCCCTCAAGGTTGCTGGAACTGAGCCTGTCCATCTATTTTCTTGCTCGCCTTTCAAAAATGTAATGAATGTGGGAGTTGCAGTAATAGAATATTTCATTCCAATTTCACGGTTCCTGGTAATGTCAACTAGGATACATGCAGCTTTTCCCCCAGACCTAGCTGCAAGTTCGTGGTAGATTGGATAGAGTCCCCTGCAAGGACTGCAAGACGGTGAGGTGAAGAAAACTATGCAGCAAGATTTGGCCGCGTCCTGAAGATAAGTATCAAATTCAATCGAGGAGCTGACGTTTTTAACATTCGACATAGCTTCATCTGGGTCTACCTGCTTTGATGAATTGTTGATGCCGACTAGACCGCCCTTGTCAGCCTGTGCCTGTCTTACTATCTGGTCAATATGTGGTTTCATCAACTTCCCAAAAGGTGTGCCAAGAACGGCCTGTGGGAGGTTCGAGATGTAGCTAGGTATACCTTTACCCAGCAAGAGTTTTGCGAAGTCATTGGAGAAGTTATTACAGTTGTGGGTCCAAACATCATAGGTCTTGTAACCTATCAGCATCTCGTGGAACCCCTGGTAGACTTGTTCTTACGTCTTTTGTGTAAGTCTCTCTTAGTGCCTCCAAAAATTCTGTTATTACATCCTCCGGCAATTCTGTGTTTCCCAGAAATTCCATCCTCATAGGCGGACCGAGATGGGTTTTGCCAGCGGAAACTGCTTTTATGCCACCATCATAAACGTATTCAATATTATCCATGACGATAGAAGTGTGATAAATTGCTTCAATTTGTTTTCCGATCAGTCCTAGAGAAACTTGCTTTGCCAGGCCATTCGACAAATCATAGATGTAAAGCTCTACACCTACCATGATGCTTCAGTTTACCGAAAATTTGAGGTCTATTTCGGCAACTAAATATCACTATGTAGAGGCAAGGAGCGAGGTGCGTTTTAAATTGAACAGAAGTCCTTGTTCAAACTTTATAATTCTATTTTGAATTTTATTTCATTTAACGCGATCAGGCACCCTATAGGTCCATGCAGGTGACTATCTTCATTATTCACAAAGGAGGAAACCAATTTGGTGGAAACCCCCTGATCCTGTCTAATTATGTTATTATAGTCCCTCTAAGATAGAAAATGATGAACTTGAAACTGAGTTCTTAAGGGATTAGCCCTGCAGGCGCAGTTGGATTAGCTCGTAATCGGTTAGACTATCTCCCATCATTACCCCGCTCGCCGTGAAGTATGGTCTGATCGTCTTTTTCGTACCATCGGTTAGATGAATAAATTTCAACTACGCTTTTGACAGCCTAACTATTAAAGCCCTTGGTTCGGAGGACGATGGCTGAACAACTGTCAGTGGTTCCATCTACGAACCTGGGAGTGAAATATTCTTCCAGAGCCGAGATTCAGTCACGAAAAAGGGTGGGATGAATTTTATTTGATGGATTCTCGACTTGAAGGAGTTGCATTCGATATTTTGGTTGAAAAATTAGTCGATAGAGATTTCACAGCCGCGATCAAGTCGATTAAAAACTCATCACCACCAACATACGATTCACGAATGGGCCTAGGTCTGTCTGGGGGTCGTATTCAAACATCTGACATCTCTCAAAATCCTTATATATTTGCGACGATCCATATCTCAGCCGATCTCACACCCACAACCCACCTCTATACTTGTCACGTCACCTATCTACACACGCCCTAGTGAGGAAAGTCATGATGGAAACAGGACGTGTGCAAAGGAAGAAGAAAAGGGAACATGCACCGAGGGGATTACACAAATCCCTAATAACGGCAACAGCCCAACGGTACAATATGAAGGTGCAAGGCTAGAGCAACGATGAGATCTTGGACGTTATTTATATTTTGGAGTCAATGAGGATGTCAAGTGCTCGGGCGCGTGGTGGCCGAGGCTGAGGAGGAATTTACGCTTCGGCGCGTCAAAAGAGGGTTCTCTGGACGGTTGGGCTTGACATGATTCAACACATGGGTGAAATATGAGGTGGTCCTTTCATTAAGGTGGGACGAAACACTTGTACTTCACTGTAGTTAACCTGATCCGGCCCGGCCCCACCTGTACTTAAGCTCCAGTGGGAGTACAACGGTAGTCATGTAACCTACCACGTTAATGAACAAAAAAATAAAGCCCTTGATTCATAACATCACTATCAATTCATCCTCCATTCTAGCAAACAATTTCTCTCGAAAAGTCTGCTTCAGAAACCAAAGTTCGCAAGCAGCTAACTCGCGATCAATGTATCGAAATTGGAACATTAAGAAGACTTGGGTTTACATTACAAAATGTAACCGACGAATTTGGCTTCACAATACGGCAAGTACAACTTGCGTGTGCTCGAGAGGATGAGAATCCTATACCTCGCAAAGGACGCTCACCAAAATTATGCGCGGAACAATGGAGTCAAATTCTATGGACTGATGAAACCTGAGTATCGGGTGATTCTCATATGAAACCTCGTGTCACAAGAAAGGTACGTATAAATTCCAATAAAATCTTCCTTGTTCTAACATTAGAGTTTAGCCTGATGATGAGTTTGATGAGACCTGTATTGAGACTCGTCATGCTGATGGAAAGAGCTGGAAGTTATGGGTATCATTTTACGGATCACAGAAAGGCCCATTCCTAGTCTGCGAGAAGAATTGGGCATCAATGAGGGCCTCATCTTTTTGTGAAAGGATTCTGCTTATTCGGAATCAATTTCATTCGGAAAATCCATATATTTTGTATATGCACAACAATGCACCATATCACGAAGCTTACTTAACGATTAAGGCACTGTATGAGATTGGAATAACGCCTATTAAATGGCCACCTCACTCTCCGGACCTGAACCCGATTGAGACATTGTGAAATATCTTAAAAAATTATATTCAGGTAAATAGTCCTGAGATAAATGGGGGTCAAGCTATTGCGCTCTGCCACGTTAATAAAATTGCTTGAGGCAGCATGGGACTCTATCCCTGTCGAGGAGCTATCATCACTAGTCAGTAGCATGCACGAAAGATGTGTAGCGGTGATAAAGGCAAAGGGAGGGTACACAAAGTATTAGGATGGAGCAGACTATTACAAAACATATAGTATGCTTTCATTTTAATTTGTGAGCCATAATTGGGGCCTCGATGTATATTTTTGTAATACAGTGCAACTGCATCTGAAATAGATGTGTATTTTTAGATAATATAAATTGATTTTTTATCTTTTAATATTTCAATGAACACCTATATGCCATTCTTTGAAGGCGAGAACCAACTTCATTAATTTTAACTTTCACTGAATATCATTGATTAGTACCCCTGCTCGCATAACTAGTGGACGATCTAGATATGGGCCTACATGGAAATCAAACCAATCAAAACACAGTTACAGGGATATATCCCTGTCATTTGACCCATATACCTTTCCTACCCATGAGAGACTGTAACTAGTCACGCGGCTACCAGCCTCATCAAAGTCATCTTTATAGATACAGTGCGGACTCGTTAACTGATTGTATCCGCTTGTGCTTGTTTATTGTCCTATGAAGTCTATGACTATGTAAGGACATGTAAGTCATTCCTGCCTACAGTCCAGGAGTATTAATGCCTCGGGTAGTGTACTCCCTCTTATGCCTCCTTCAAGACCTCTTTCCAGCAATAATACCCCCACAGGTCTTCATTCGAGTACACACCAAGAGGAGTCGTTATCCCATCCTTATCTCCCCTCTCAAGCCAAAAAAACGATGGCCACTTGCGGGTGTATAGCTGCAGGGAAATGTCTTGAAAACTATGGGCGCGGGACACTCCTAATTCGAAGAAGCTGGTAACATGGCAGGCAGTTAGTAATATGTTTTATTAAGGTAATAATGATCCCTCAGTCATTAAGGCTGTGGAGCGCATCGATTCAAGTAACTACCAGAACGAAACTAAGTACAGAATTTGCAGTCACATGTCTATCAACGACGTGGCCTGCTTGATGGCCCCAATTTTTCTAAATTCTAAAATCTTAAGATTTAAGTTGACTCTCTTGAGCTCAGTGACTCTCGAACTCTACATAACATTCGTAACAATCACTGAATTATGTTTGTGTAGATTAAAAAGTTGAGGCTCGCCCATGAGTAATTATTGTCGGAAATTTATAAAATCTTTGATCCTCATAGCAAATTTTTATAATTATAAATATCTTTATTTAATTCATTTAATATGTATACAGCTATCTAGCTATGACACATGACCGGTGCTATGTATATATTTTGGGTGATTCTTTTGACGTTATAGACACTCATACTCTGGATTTCATTCGCAAATACCACTATGAAGTATGCTTGCTTACACAAACAGCTATCCCTCCTCCATAAGTACCCACTAAAGGGAAATTCAAAACCTTTGATTATCCAAGCATGCCTTCGTCATCCATGTGTACCAGCGCCGCGAGAAAAGCGATTGTGTTTTGCCGGATTCGAGCCAGCGATCTTCTGTCTCGAGTGGGATAAGTGTCCAAGCTATCCAGACTCTACTAGGCAGACCGACCAAGACGATGTACCACCGCACCATCTAACCATAGCCGTGTCTATAGTGTCACCTGCACTCTCGCAACTGAAGCCTTAGCACGCACAAAGTTCACTCCGAAAAAACTCCTTTCCAAAATTCGAAATTTCACGCCCGTCAAGACTGTATCCATTCTTTGCATCCTCTACATCATCTTGTGAACTTGTCCTGATTTCTCTAACGTCCGTCCCAAAGAACTTTTTCCCAGATTTGTGCGCCACGCTTTGATTCCTCCGTCAGGTGTAAATATCGGCGTGGGCGTATATTTGGTGACCAGCTGAGGCCAGAGAAAGTCGACGAGAGGTGTGGTCATGGGAATAAGATGTACTGGGTCGTAATTGAAGACTTGATGAGGCTTAAGTAGGATTCGATCTCTTTGGGATTGAAAAATTGATGTGTTGGAGTATTTTGAAACAATGCCTTGTGGGCCAACTTATTCGGTATTGCGAAATCTGACTGAACTTGGCTCTGGGAGAATATTTCTCTCCAATGTTCGTAGAGTACACCGCGTACAGGTGTTCAGTCTTGCCCTCCATAATTATAACTAGGTCGTAAATGTAGCCTTGGTGGATAAAAGCACAATGCCATTCAGTGGTGTCCCCTACGATCCCTCAGCTCTCACTGTATAGCCTGTAGAACTGAAATTGAGAAATACCTTTGTCCTTACTTCGATGAGGATTCCCATCGCTCTCGCAGTCTGTGTCCTCTTCACCTCTTAGTATAACCTCCTAGCACCCAATACAGAGATAGTATATTGGATCAAGTTAAATTCTAATTATGAAAAGAAGGGGCATATAGATGGATATGCGCACCTCGTGTGACCCCGGTGTCCAGGCGTCGCCTGGCTGGGGCTGAAGTTTTTTTGAGACTTTTTCCCGCTCATACAGTTTCAATTGCTACCATTACTTAATTTTTTTAGGTAGGAGGTTCGGTGCAAAAAGTGGATATATTATACGGTTAAATACTCAGCTAAATGACTATCCAACATTGATAACAAATCGGAACCCTATTTTTGGAACAAAAGAAAGAACGAATAATTATTCGTGACGGGCACAATCCCTACACTCAAAGAGCATGACACAGAGAATGCGAGTCATTCCCCTACGACTATATACGATAATTACTCAGTTTGGCATTTGGACTACTCATGTAATGGGTGCATTCGCTGATACTACTTGAGACCTTGGTGCTAGGGACTTTCTACCTACCCTGAACTGTTAATATCCACCAAAGGAAAAACAGGAAAAGTCTCTGGCTACCCTGACTTGCCTTCGCCATCTGGTATATGGCCGCCGCGCGAGACATGGCTTCACAGTCCACCCTTTCTCGACTGAGGTAGGTGTCCAGGCTACCCAGACTTTAATTCGGGGAGATGACGACCAGGAGGCGGACTAGAACACCTTCCATCGTTGCCTATTTTTAGAGTGTCGGTAGCACTATCCTAAATCGTTGCCTCGGCGCCCACAGACACACTTGAGCCGAAAACACTCGAAAAATGTGCGTCCCAGCATGCTCATTTGTGACCTCTTCACTCGTTCGTCCCACATCCCAGCTGCCTGTCCCTCCTCAAGATGTGAAGCACCATTAAAGCAACGGTTCCCCATAGACAAAGACCCAGGCTTTGTAGATTATGACTTAAATTTCTCCTCGCGGGTATACATAGCATCGTAAATGTGTAGTGGGAGATGGCCGGTTTTTGATGAGGCAAATGTCCGATTGCAATTGGAGTACGCCATTATCGGAATTTGAGGCGAGGTGGAGGACTCGCGTGAGAATGATAGGTCCGACATTGACAAAAGTCATCGATTTTAGATGTGCTTGAGGTTGCTTTCGACCTCGATTTGGATGTGATCCTTCTTGGCTATCCCAGATGTGCAGAGAATACTGAGCAATTATACCGGCACCACTGACAGGTGATGAATTCATCTTTGCCGGCATTTTCGCAAAGAAGATTCGGTTACTTGTGAGATGTAGCCATGGTCACAGAGAAGCACGACATGCCAGATATATCTGCCTCAGGTTGAACAAGGTAAACCAAGCGCGGTGTATATAGATTGCAACACCCTTGTGATTAATCACCAGTAGTGATTTATGTAAGTTTAATGCGTCCCGACCAACATTCCAATTATACCGTACAAAACTAGCCTGCATAAGCTCATAGACCCGGAACAAAAATTCCTGCCTCGTCCATATCTGATCTGCGAAGACACTTAAAGTTCTCTGCGAAGCTTGCCCATTGCATGCCTTATGAGACGAATATCAGTCTCGCAGAAATCAAAAGAGGTAGAAGGCGATCCGCACGAGAAACTAGCCCGTTATCAAACCAGCGGCAACAGTGCAGCCGCCATAGGAGCTCAGGAGAGAGCCAAAATCGTCTGGATGCCTCAAACTCAACGTTCCCGTTATGTAAGAACTGGGGGGGTCCTACTTTTTGTAGTCTTCTTGTTCTACTACTTCTTACCTCATCGAACCAGTTTTTATGGAGAAGGTACACGAGATCCGCATTCAAATATTCCCAAGCTGATTGGAAAATTCAGTCACAAAGTTGGAAAATGCACCAGTACCCTCTGACTCGTTTACCGAAACAAAAAAGTGCTCAAAGCCATACGAAAAATCGAAGCCACTCATTCAATATGTTCTAATGATAGATGCCGGTAGCACGGGATCAAGAATTCATGTCTACAAGTTTAATAATTGCGGACCCACTCCAGAACTTGAACAAGAAGAATTTAAAATGACAGAGAAAAAATCTGGCGGATCAGGATTAAGCTCTTACAAGACAGACGCCGATGGTGCTGCAAAAAGCTTAGATGTTCTCTTAGATGTGGCGATGAAAAATGTTCCCGATAAATATAAGGCTTGTTCGCCAATTGCCGTCAAAGCAACTGCCGGACTCAGACTGCTCGGCCCAGAAATGAGTCAGAAAATATTGGACGCAGTTCGGACAAGGCTAGAGACTGCCTACCCATTTCCTGTTGTTTCTAGTGCAGAAAATGGGGTAGCTATCATGGATGGAAAAGACGAAGGTGTTTATGCTTGGATCACAACGAATTATCTCCTCGGAAAAATAGGTGGTTCAGATCAACGAAAAACTGCTGCAATTCTTGATCTCGGAGGCGGGTCGACACAAATCGTTTTTGAGCCTGATTACCAGAGCTTAGCTCCAGACAAGCTCAAAGAGGGCGAACATAAATACAACCTCTCGTTCGGCGGAAGAGTTTATGAGCTCTACCAACACTCGCATCTTGGCTATGGCTTAATGTCGGCTCGTGAGGCAATTCACAAAACCTTGATCGAGGATATACACATCGGGAATCCTGAAGATTCTGCATGGATATTTAGACCAATTATTAATCCATGTATTGCTCCTGGAATGAGTCGTATGGTAGATATAAAACTTGAAGACAATCATCAGCTCGGAAAGAAACTATCTGTTAACATGACAGGTCCTTCTTCTCCTGCTCCAGCTCAGTGCCGTAGATTAGCTGAAAAGGTCTTACACAAAGACTCGGTATGTGATCTAACACCATGCTCCTTTAATGGAGTATACCAACCTCCGTTATCGAAAACTTTTTCTCAAGAAGACATTTATACATTTTCCTACTTTTATGATCGCATAAATGTTCTTGGAATGCCGGATTCATTCACTCTGAACGAACTACATCGGCTGACAGAACAAGTGTGTGGAGGAGAGTCCGATTGGGAATTATTCTCAGCCGTTCCAGGAGCATTGGCAGAGCTTCAAGGCCGGCCAGAGCATTGCCTTGACCTTAACTACATTGTGGCGCTCCTTCATACAGGATATGAAATGCCTATCGAAAGAGAAATTAAGATTGCGAAGAAAATAGACAACAATGAACTCGGTTGGTGTTTAGGTGCAAGGTATGTTAGATTAAGTTATTTTGACTCTCTTACTAATACTTTTCAAGTCTCCCTCTTCTCGGTGAGAGATCAGGATGGGAGTGTCGTGTTAAAGAAGTGTCATGAACAGCTCACTGCATAGTATATTTAGTTAATCACGGCAGTATATAGCCATTTCTTGCTTTGATGATATAAAATTCAGGGGTGGGCCATTATTTAAAAATTTCAAATTTATGATTCAACCAGGATATGTATCCTGTGGATGAACGCATTTATTTCTCTACCTAACCCGTTTCGCAATTTTAAAAATGCGCCATAAATAGAAAAATACATGTCTAGATTCAATTTCAGAGTATCAATGGACGATGATAATGAAATATCTTCATCAAAATACCAGCAATCACTGAGGAAAGAGATTTGATCACTTTCCGTGCTTTATCATGATAATTATACTTGAACCCCAAGAATTGCGGTATACGCGAGGATTAAGTACAGAGCAACTATATCTTTTAATCTATGCGTATGTCCAACTCTCTCACGAGAGCTGACTCGGCAAGGCAAGTACCAATATCCCGTTCACATAAGAATGAAAATTATTTTCACAAAATCTTGGTACGTACATCCTAAACATTTATTTCTGGAATCAAATGGCCCATAATAAAGACCGGTAAGAGCACCATTACGGATCCTTTGTGATTTCAATAAATAAGTTAACAGAAGTGTATCACACTATTAGTATGGCCTAACCTTGTAGTTTCGTCCCAAGTAGTCATATTTTCTGATGGATCGGGAGATTATTTCCAATATGGGATTAACAACGCTGATATTAATAGAAGCAGTTCTTCCTAGAAGAATAAAATACATGATGATCATTTTGCTTGCTCCTAAATTCATCCAGTGGTGGAGAAAGATATACATCGCTAATGGCCAATAATCTGATAAGGCGAGCTAAATTTGCTAGTTTACAGGCATCTAAGGTAATTACGCTCTGTTAGTGCCAAGCTTTTGGCTGTCGCGAATAAAAATCCATCCATATACTCATAAAAAGTGTATTCGCTATTACATTCCTGAAAACCTGACAAGAGCCCAAGGCATTCCAGCAATGCCTATTTGAAGCGAGAACATAAAGATTTACTTACATTTATTGAAGAAAAAACCAGGAATCTACAGTCAAAGCTGGCCATGTAGCTACGAATCGCAGAATCCCAAGCACGTGATTATGTCTTGCAGTAATGGTCAAAGATTAGATGGGAGATTTGAGGAAGAGCCAAGCATTGGTCCTTCAAGGCCATAGTGAATTATCCTTGCAATATCAAAAGAATTACACAGTGGATCCTAAATCACGGTTGGATAGAGGCATTCCAGACGATAAAGTCGATCGAACTGCTTTTGAGTGTAAGAAACAGCGAGCAATTCTTTGGGTCGACAGAGAAGATACGGTTGGCTTGCGAGGATGGCACTAAAGTGTGACTGCGCTTCCTGAAGGAAAACTAAATATAATAAACAGAAGGATCTGAGGGGTTTTCAAGAAAGGGTTTCCTCCCATGTAAACATTAAAGTTAATAGACACCTGCTTTGAGAGGGACTTGTCACGTTAGCTCTTCGCAAATGTGTGTCGTAAATTGAGTTATATTTCGCATAAAAAAAATACGAAGACTACATGCTTATTTACTCAATATCGTGCGTCAAGTGGGGGACTACTCTCAACACCTGTCAGTGGTGTCCCCTACGAACCTCCAGCTCTCACTGTAGATTCTGCAGAGCCTAGATTAAGTAACAAAGTCCCCACTTCAATGAGGATTCCCAATCACTCTCGCAGTCTGTGTCTTCTTCACCTCTTAGCACAACCTCCTACCACTATTATCACAAAGCTATCCACCACCAGGTCAGATGGTAGGGTCGAAGCCATACTCATCACCCAATAACTTTTCTTGGTCACGAGGGAAAAGCCGTCCGGTGAGTTTCTGTAGCGCACCCAGCATTCGATACGAAGATTGTGGATTAGATCAGGTTGACCTTTTATCATACAAAGAAGGAAGATATAGATGGATATGCGCACATCTTGTGGCCCCGATGTCTAGGCCTCTCTTGGCTGGGGCTGCAGGTTTTTTGAGACTTTTTCCCGCGCACGCAGTTTCCATTACTACCATTTTTATTTTTTATTTTTTTGGGTAGAAGATACGTAGGAAAGGTGGCCGAATTCCACGAGTAAATACTGAGCTGAATGGCTATTCAATATTGATAATTAATCAGAAACATATTTTCGCATCCAAAGAAAATGGAGACACTGAATGAAGTGTGTGTGTTTATTGTACTGCCTGAGTCATAGACTATCTAGCACATTGGGCTCCTCTCTGACCCAGGTCACACCTTGTACAGTGCTCCTTTCCTCTCATGTTTCTTGATAGATCATTGATATATTGCCCGTGATGGATAGCCATTCAGCTCAGTATTTACTCGTGGAATTCGGCCACCTTTCCTACGTATCTTCTACCCAAAAAAATAAAAAATAAAAATGGTAGTAATGGAAACTGCGTGCGCGGGAAAAAGTCTCAAAAAACCTGCAGCCCCAGCCAAGAGAGGCCTAGACATCGGGGCCACAAGATGTGCGCATATCCATCTATATCTTCCTTCTTTGTATGATGAAAGGTCAACCTGATCTAATCCACAATCTTCGTATCGAATGCTGGGTGCGCTACAGAAACTCACCGGACGGCTTTTCCCTCGTGACCAAGAAAAGTTATTGGGTGATGAGTATGGCTTCGACCCTACCATCTGACCTGGTGGTGGATAGCTTTGTGATAATAGTGGTAGGAGGTTGTGCTAAGAGGTGAAGAAGACACAGACTGCGAGAGTGATTGGGAATCCTCATTGAAGTGGGGACTTTGTTACTTAATTTAGGCTCTGCAGAATCTACAGTGAGAGCTGGAGGTTCGTAGGGGACACTACTGAATGGCATTGTATTTTTATCCACCAAGATACGACGCCTGGACGGGCCAGGTCCTGACTTGTCCCGAGTCGTTTAGTATAAGATAGAGGTATAAGAACTGATGATGTTTATTTATATAAATCATATTACAAACAATTCGCGTTATAACTAATTTCTATCTGGTATTCCATAGAGGTATATGGACGTGACCGCTCAAGAGGAATATTGGGCTGGCATATATCATGTGACATTTCTTCCCAAAGCCTCCATACGGGATGAAAAATAATTGTCGCCAAGGGCGCTGTTGAAGACTGGCCCAACTCGCGATTGTCAAAGCCTGTCAACACTATGTGGAAATCTTTGCTCTCGAGAGCATTACCAAGGGTTTCCTGCAAGGCAAAATTCATCCGCAACGCATCCCCTATAATATGCACCAGGAATCTAGCTACCTCATATGACCCAATACAAAAGGTAATCAATGGACACACTTCTTTCATTTCCTTCGATCCTCTAACTCAGCAAATAGGATCCAGCTGAACTCGATGAGGTATCTACTTTAGCCAATGGTATACGTGTTGCTACGGAAGCCCTGCCAGGACATTTCTCTGGTATCGGGGTATTCATAGATGCAGGATCTCGGTATGAAAATGAGCACTTGAGGGGCGTTAGTCATATCATGGATCGTTTGGCCTTTAAATCTACGAAAAATCGGACCAGTGACCAAATGCTCGAAGCCATTGAGTCGCTTGGAGGCAATATTAATTGTGCTTCGTCTAGAGAATCTTTAATGTACCAATCTGCAACCTTTAATTCAGCAGTCCCTACCGCCGTAGCGCTCCTCGCCGAAACTATTCGCGATCCATTGATAACTGAAGAAGAGGTTCAAGAGCAACTCGAAACTGCTGCATATGAGATAAAAGAAATATGGTCAAAACCAGAATTGATCTTACCAGAGGTTGTACACATGGCAGCTTACAAGGATAATACTCTCGGAAATCCTCTATTATGCCCAAAAGAGCGCTTTTCGGAAATAGATAAGAAGACGGTCAACGACTACCGAAGTGCCCTAATCCGTCCTGATCGGATTGTTCTCGCATTTGCTGGTGTACCGCATGAAGAGGCCCTAAAGCTTGCTGATCAGTACTTTGCAGACATGCCAACCCTAGATAGTACAAACAAAAATAAACTATTAGAAACAACCGAGGAATCCTCGCAAGATACGATATCGGAAATTACAACTACGTCGCCAAATTTAATGGAATCATCTACCTCAAGAAAACCATTAAAGTTCCTTTCTCGACTACCGTTTCTTAGCGGTTTATCCTCTGCGGAAGGTTTCGCTCCCAAAGATCCATCATTACCAGAGGAATGTTTTGGGCCTTCTCATTATACTGGAGGGTTCCTCTCGCTGCCAAACCTACCGCGACCAGTCAATGCCACACGTCCATCGCTTACTCATATCCATTTAGCGTTTGAATCACTATCTATATCTTCAGATGACATATACGCTCTTGCTACTCTCCAGATTCTTCTTGGAGGCGGTGGCTCCTTCTCGGCTGGTGGCCCCGGTAAGGGCATGTACTCTAGATTATACACAAATGTCTTGAACCAACACGGCTGGGTTGAATCATGTGCCGCATTCAATCATTCATACATAGATTCAGGTCTCTTCGGAATCGCCGCAAGCTGTTCACCTTCTCACGTTGCCTTAATGCTCAATGTCATGTGTCGTGAGCTGCAAGCCCTCACGCTTGATACAGGTTATCAGTCATTACAGGCTGTCGAAGTAAACAGGGCCAAGAATCAGCTAAGGTCAAGCCTTCTCATGAACTTGGAAAGTAGAATGGTCGAGCTCGAAGACTTGGGGCGACAGATTCAAGTACATGGAAAAAAAATTGGTGTGAGGGAGATGTGCAGTAAAATTGAAAAATTAACTATAGACGATCTTCGTAGAGTCGCCAAGATAGTTGTTGGCGGAATGGTTGATAACCCTGGTATGGGTAGCGGTGCACCAACTGTTGTCCTGCAAGAGTGTGACGAAGAGGGGCCCACGCGCCAAGCTTTTAAGTGGGAACAGATACAGGATTGCATAGCGAGCTGGAAACTGGGGAAATATTAAGGTCAATATCACGGTATAAAATAATAAGGAGTAATATGATTGTTCTACTATTAATAATTTCCATTAGGATATTTTGTCCCTGCGCTTTAGACTTGGGGTTTGAAATTTTAATGTAACAATTCTAGTGCATGTTAGTAAAGCAGAAAGATAGTCGGCGGTTAACTCAGCCTGTAAATATTGGCGTTGGTCCCCAGTTTGCGCTCAGCTATACAGCTCCAGGTATTAAAAAAAATGTTACTGATTTCCAGTCTCTACCTGAGATACAAATATGTTAGTTGTCTTTCATCCTTCTCACCATTACTAGATAGGAGATGTAAGTCCTTTCTGCGTTTAGCCTAGGTAAATATGTGCGTCTGGTAGCTCATCCTCTTCAATGCCTCCTTCACAACTCCATCACATAGACTGATCTAGCCAACACCAGACCTTACGGTTATGTTGTGAGCTGGCACGACATCAAACAAAAAACAAACAGCTCCCCACTAGATGTAGAGCCCATTTCAAGTCTTTATCCGATCATACACTTTGAGGAGCCTTCTACCCCTCATTATCCTCCATCTCTAGTCAACGAAACGAGGGCTATTTGCGGGTATATGGCTGATTGAAAGATCTCGAAAACTACTAGGCGTGACGCTGCCCTAGTACCTATATTAGGGCAAGTCAAAAGACATAGCTGCCCTTCCGAAGCGTTCGAAGAGGCCTGCCGGCTAAGCGCTGCATGTTATGCTCAGCTCTGAATCATGGTAGATCTAGAATCTGGTGCATAGGTAGTTATTATGGCAGTATAGCATTATGGGGTAGAAAGGAGATTCAGTCTCTACATAACAACATCATAAGCAGTACTGTGAGCAGCATGAGGGATGGCTTGTTGATATAGGACAAATGGGATGGTTGCTCAGTTGGGAGCAAACTTTCGTGCGCTGCATACTGTTTTTTATAATTCACATTGTACTCAGCTATTGAGCTATGACAATTCAACTTTACAAATTAAGCAGGCATAAAGCATGATTCAAACACCGGTTAAAATCAACCTTCCAAAAAAAAAGAAAAAAACTTCTCCCAATATTTTGTACCTTAGAAGTCCTATTCTCATTGTTTGTTTGCCTGATACATCTCCTTTGTATAGTGATATATACTTGGAAGTTTTTAAAAATTGTAGTACGGCTTCCCTTCTCTGTTAGTTCTTCAAATTATTGTTAATATCCTTGGTTGGATATCAGCAAATGCTGGATCTCCTTGTTTCCTAAATTTTGTGCAATTAAGGATCAAGTTCTTTGTTGTCTGCTTTTTTGAATGGCAGAAGTTGAATACTGTTTACGTGGTCGGTCTGCCAGCGAAGTAGCTAGGGGACCAGGGACGAGCATTTCCCCATCTACAATACAACAATTATCATAGTAACCTCACTTCCTCATTTCAATGAAGATATGTCTCCATGAACTACCCTAGCTATTCCAGCACAAGAGTTCATTTCCACACCATATACCAATCATGATACCGCGGACTTGCGTTGTGACGAAACCGAACTGGCTGTAATGTACTTCAAGGTAATACTTTACAAAGAGAGAAGTAACAAAACTACGGATAATAGCTACTTGTCCATCCTTCTACCTCATCCAGTACGTACTCTGTTGGTAAGCTCGACATATTGCTCCGCCACTGGCCGTCGTTATCTTTGCCACCTAGCTCGGCTTTCTCACTCGGCAATTGTACCTTGCTGCCTCATAATCCTTTCTGGCCCCAATGTAATGTGGAGAAGCGGAACTCAGTCGCTTGGAACAAGATAATATGAAAGAGTTTCCCTACTGCTCCCCAAAGTCCGCTTAGGTATCCACCCAAACTAAGCCATGATCAAACCGTAACATGTGTGTACCTAAGAATATGATTCTATCTTTCTGGTTCCCTTTAGCCTCACTATCGTTCCCGCCTAGTAACAAATCAGAGGGTTTTATGTGTTTCTTAAAAAGTCTTGACAAGAAATGTGAGCTGTAAAGCAGCCTGGCTTAACTTCTTCATACCGCCTTGGCGAATGGAGTATCCCGCATGTTCATTGACAATAGAAGCCCTCTTTGTTGGTATTGGGTTCAATTTTAACCCGTAGAGAGTCATAGAGGACATCACTGGACAAATATTGAGCCCTGGATCCCTTTGGATATGAGTATTGAGCCAGAGCTTGATCAGTTTATACCAGATATTGTTTGAAATTCAACGATTTCGTGATCTTTTTCCTCGCTTGAAGAACTAAGTTTCACCCTGAGCCCCGTTGACAACGGAATGTGATGAATGTTCACATTTCACCATCTGTAGGGTGATGAGCGCCGTGATGTTGGTTGCGTAGTTTGACATGGGCGGCATAGCCGAAGGTCTGGTAAGTATAGGGGGATACGGAATGGAGGTAAATCTGAATATATCTAACTGTAGCATAATATTGCAACAGAATCCTTAGATTAGATATCCATCAGCGATGTCTCTCCCTATCCTTGGAGTGAAATATTCTCCCAACACAAGTTAAACCAAGTTGCGCAATACCGAATGAATTGGCCAGCCAGCCAATAGTTCAAGGCCTCAAAGCCAGTTCACCCAGACATAATTACATCTTTCGAAGCAGGTTGACTCCCTACCTAGGCTTTCCTAGCAGTACCCTATGCTTGAGCCACTGCAGCGAACTCTCGTTGGCGGATCTCACAGATAGTGTAATGCCGAGACTTGCTTGAATCGGCGTTTAAGCAGAAAGTTCAAGAAGTTACAAGGGAAAGTTTGTCGAAAAATCTGAGACTGTCACCGTTAGATTATCATCTAAGTTAAGGCATCAGCTTGGATCAAGCTTGTTGAGGTCATGATTGAAGTCAGGGCTAGATCTTGTGCTAGCTTAGGTCGAATCATGATACAGTCTTTAGTTATACTTAAGAAAATTGAAGCTACCTCAAAGTCGCTCTCGAGCTTCTCAATATTTGATCTCTCATTTTAGAAATTTTATAATATTATAATCTTATATATTTTCAAGAAAGATACGTGAGACACGACATTACGTTGTAAATGTTGACTAAAGATACCTACTGCTGCGGATGAAATATACGTGCTGCTAGGAAGGTTATGTAGCCAGAATAGCTTAGTTTACATGACTAGATGAAATACTACCCCTAGACAGATTTTCATAGTCTGATGTTTTCAGTATTTTATTACTCGTTACATTCTTGGTACTTTATTGGATCTTAAGTTATCAGACTACTTCGCTTGCCCCGCAACTTGACTTCTTGACTTGTCTCTCCTATCTTTAAAAATCTGGCACCTCGTCGGTCCGACTATCTCCAAGTATCCTTCGTTAATATTTGGAATCACAGTTACTACTACAGTAACTTCACCAGGAGGCGATCTTCAGTATCAATAGCGCACGCTGTAACAGCTGGAGAGATCAAATATATTGAAGTTTAGACATTACAGACCGAACTGCACGCAATACGGAGTAGACAACTACTAAGCGACTTCGATCGCTACAAGCTTGAGTAAGGTCTCGGTTGGCAATGATCTCTGTGGTGGGAATTTCATTCAATCACGTAGTCAGAGCGTAATGTTTCTACCCGAGCAAAGTAGAACACTGATCAATTATTATATGCACATAATCTTCATAGATGATAAACCAGGAAGGGCTAGAATTAACCAAAGTGGAAGACCTTCCAGTATACGTAAATACCTGAGAAGTATGGCCATGAAGATAAGAAGCGAACTTATAGGGTTCAATTCCTATCCGCACAGAAGAAAAGTTACAGGAGTAGATAATCCACGATGCCAATGTGGACATCAGTCCCAGAATTTGAAGCACATGGTCATGGCTTGCACCAGCTGGGCCAAAGTAAGAGGAGATATACCGGGAAAGGCAGAGAACCGGTCATTTGAGGCAATGATGCACAATCCAAAAGATATAGAAAGGATAGCTAGATGGGTCCAGTAGGAAGGACGGCCAGAGCGGTTTCGACCGACAGTTGAAGTCAAAGCGACAATGCGTGAGAAAAAAGAACGTAGAAGGAAGACAAGCTTCTACAAGTCATAGGTGAGAGGACGGTATCTGCACTGGACATAACAGTGTTGGCGACTTCTTGAAGGTAACACAACATTAAAGTGTAAACAGATTGAAAAGTTGAGGGGTCATTTACCACAAAGATTTCCTCCCGTGTAAATTTTGAGTTCGTAGATGCCTGCATGGTCCCATAGGACGCCAAATCAGTACAGTGAAATCAAAATCAAATACCCAGACTCTCAAGGCGATGACATTGGCCAAGGTGTGTGTATGTGTTTATTGTAATACTTGAGTCATTGAATATTTAGCAAATTGGGCTCTTCTCTAGCTCAGGCTACACCTTGTACAGTGCTCCTATCCTCTTTTGTTGCTTGTAAGATCATTGATATATTGTCCGTGACTAATAGCCATTCAGCTCAGTGTTAACCCGTGGAATCCAGCCAATTATTCCATGGAACCTTCTACCAAAAAACAAAAATGGTAGCAATGGAAATTGCGTGGGAGGGTGAAGGTTTGAAAAAACCTGTAGCCCCAGCCAGGCGAGGCCTAGACATCGGGGACATACGAGGTGCGCATATCCATCTATATCCTCCTTCTTTGTATGATTAGAGGTCAACTTGATCCAATCCACTATCTTCGTATCGAATGCTGGGTACGCTTCAGAAACTCACCGGACGGCTTTTCCTCCGTGATCAAGAAAAGTGATTGGGTGATGAGTATAGCTTCGACTCCATAACTGATCTGATAATGATTAGGTTAATATTAATGGTGCTATGGGGGTTTGCCGAGTGATGATGAAACGGACCACAAAAGAGATTGGGGATCCTCATTGAAGAGAGAACGGAAGCGTTATTCAATCTCTGCCCTGCAGACTCTACAGTGAGAGCTGAAGGGTTGTAGCGGACTCCACCGACAAATGAAAGGTTTCTGCCCCTCTTTCTATTCATAATTTGGACGTTTGGCCAAAATATTGCCAACTTGAGGTCCAAAGCAATTTTACTTGTGTAAAAATGTATTTTGGGCTGTAGAATTTACTCCGTACACGTTTCGAAATTGTTGTCGTCTTTGGAGCGCACATTACGTTTCCTGCTGACAAGGTCGATGGTTTCTGTGAAACAGAAGTAACTTTTTCTCCCTACTGACACAACACGGCGTACCAATAACCATCAGCATCGGTAAAACAGGCAATCTAAATTTGCAGAAGATAAATGGTGAATGGTTAGTTACCGTTAGTTGTAAGTCCATAAACTTATTTGATAGGTTACAGCACCATGGCAATCGCGACGGAGGAACGTTCCTTGACAGTTAGCCAAGGGCTAACCTAAATTCACAGCCAATGGGCATGTTGTCACAACTGTAAAAGGCGACATGATTCAGACATGCATCTGCGTAACCTAATATTAGCAAGAGAAAGCTTCATGAAAACAGCCCAAGGGCGTAAAGTTTCCGAGAATAATCAAACCAGCTGCACGGTAATTTTGATCCTTTCCTCAGTTTTCCCATAGAAGCTAATGCCTCCAGAGCTAATTTTTAACTACATCGTCTTGGAATAACGAAATTTCTCATCGCAATTATCCTTTGGATTCTCACATTTCCTCACACAATCTTCATATATAGCGAAAAGGTATGGCCGTCGATGTAACATCATCTGCCAAGCCATTACAGACACCGATTGAGAAGCCCTCTGATACCTCACAAATACCGCCTGCGGTAGAACTTACCGCTCCGCAAAAGGTTAAATATGAAGATCTACTAAAGATAGTAAAATCATGGAAAGAAATCCCGAGTCGATCAGGTAAAAATGGCCCAGTCACTGAGAGCGAAATTTTCTGGTTAACAAAGGAGTGTCTGCTCCGATACTTGAGAGCATCAAAGTGGGATACTGCCAAATCTGCTAAGCGTATCCAAGGAACTTTAACATGGCGACGTGACTTTGGTGTTGAGGAAATTACCGGCGATGGTATCTCGTCCGAAAATGAAACAGGCAAGCTGATCCTACTCGGATATGATCTATTCACAAGACCTTGTGGCTACATGTATGCGGGTCGTCAGAATTCGGAAGCTGGTCCACGACAGGTCCAATTTGTTGTGTTTATGCTGGAAAGGATGATCGATTTTACTGAGGCAGGTCAAGATACATTGACTCTAATCATAAACCTGAGAACAAAAGCAACTGCAATTCCGAGTCTTGGCCAAGCCAAGGAGATCTTGGATATTATCCAAACCCATTACCCTGAGCGTTTGGGAAAGGCATTTTTAAGCTGTGCGTTTTCTCACCTATTAATCCACCTCATATCTAACATTTTTAGCTTCGTGGATGGTAGATGGCTTCTTCAGGCTTCTAACACCATTTATTGATCCCCAGACCCGTGAAAAGTTAGTGTTTAATGGAGATGCAAAAGAAATAGTGCCAGTTGAGCAACTTTGTAAGGATTTTCAGGGAGGTCTAGAATTCGAGTATGACCATAAAATCTACTGGCCTGCACTTCTCAAGCTCTGCGCAGAGAAAAGAGATTTCAAATGGAAACGCTGGGTCGAAGCAGGAAAAAACTATGGGGAGAGCGAGTTCTATCTTAAAGGTGGTAATGAACTTAGTGTTTCTCATCAAGAAATAGATAAAAATGTATAATTTTTGATCTCCAAAATTCAACTATTACCACTGCTATTAAAATATATCGATCTCTAAAAATATTCAAATTGCTTTGGGCTATAGTCTCTTGGTACGCTTAGGCATCATGATCTACGGTCGGGTTTATTCGAAAAGTGCTATGTAACACATAGATTATTGGAAATGCATGTGTTAATGATTATTGTCCTATTGAGTCTGTAGTTATGTAAAGAAATGTAGGTCATTTCTAACCACAGGCTGGGAGTGTCTATGCCTCGGGTAGTGTACTCCCTCATATGCATTCTTCACGACTTCTTTCCAGCAGTAATACCCACACAGGTCTTCATTCGAGTACACAGTAAGAGGAGTCGTTATCCCGCCATTATCTCCCCTCTCCAGCCAACAAAGCGATGGCCATTTGCGGGTGTGTAGCTGTAGGAAAAAGACTCAAAAACCACTGAGTGCTAGGCTCTCCTATGACAAAGAGGCTGATCAACCTGGCGCAGTAGACTTGTGTATACCTAAAAGCGCCTCTCACCCTTCATACTCTCTTCTTTCCTCCGACCCTGATTCATGCCATAGGATAAACCGATGGTGGCGAAAGTTTGTCAGAAAAGTCTTGGTCGAGAGTGAATGCCGTGAAGGAGCCTAGCATGGCATTCAAAAGTCGTTACGAACGTGGGGTTGTCGAATAACTGATATGTTTCAAATACTCTCCTGGCTAGTAGATTAGGAATTTTAGAGCCAAAGAGACGGTGTTGTTGACGAGTCGAAATCTACTCTTTCTTGAGGCAGAAGGGTCCTATGTTTGCTTTCGTGGGCTTTTTTTGCCCGTCAGAAGGTAGATCATGTTGTGATATGACGAGAGCTTCTCTGACTACCATTGTAGCGTTTGGTATGGCAATATCTTTCCTCTTTCCAAGCATCATTAGCGTCGTTTTGGTCGTCTGATGTGTATTCGGAAGCGTATCTTTGACGGAAGGGAGATAACTCAGTTCAAAGTTTAAAAAGTTTTACTCAATCTTGGCTTTGCACACTCTACAGTGAGAGCTGGAGGTTCGTAAGGGATACTACTGACAGGTGTTGAGTTTTCGTCCCCTCGTAATACATGCAATCACTACCTATTTCTCAACATAAAATTCTCTGTTAGCCCAGTGTTCAAGATATAACGCGCTGTCTCTCAGCTAGCTTTTCCGAATTGTCAATCCAACGATTGAGGCAGGTATCCTATCGAAAAGAAAGAAAAGGTGGCTGAATTCCACAGGTATATATGGAGCTGAATGGCTATTCATCACGGGCCGTATGTCAATGATCTTACAAGTAACAAAAGAGGCAGGGAGCACTGTACAAGATGTGGTCTAGGCCGGAGAGGAGCTCAATGTGCGAGATAGTCTATTACTCAAGTAGCACAATAAACATACCTCTCTCTATCGAAAAGGATGTGCTCAATCATGAATCTTATTCGATTAAAGTTATCCTGGATCATAAATCAGTCAACATCCTTCTGGTATGAATTCTCGATTCATTTTGCTATCATATAACTACCTTCAATGTTTAATGCAACGATCCTGGAATGAAAATAAACTTCCTAAAACAAGCCATAAATTATTGTCTTGCAAGCTGACTACTAGAAATAATTTCTAGTCAAATATACCAGCCATAACTTATCATCACCACACCTGTTTTGCTTACCAAATCAAGTTTTGGCTTAAACGACTCAATTCAAACTTTATTTACCAGAACTGTTTAGTCCAGTGTGTCGGCTAGCAAGCAAAAAAGGGAGAGAGATGCGGCACCCAAAATACGAAAACCAAACGGTTTCAAGAATCTACAGCAGAACTCCCTATCGAGGTATACGGTTTTACTTAGTGAACTCGAGTTAAAAGTGGTAGAGATACCGACAACTATGCTTTGATCAGGGAGATGCGGATGGTGACTAGGGTTCTGAAGATCGGCCTTGTGATACATTAAATACGGTGGCTATATGATGTAATGAAGCATCAGCGGTTGAAGTAAAACGGTCGCACCAGAGGATCAATCGTGGTCAGCCTCCTGTCCGAGGCAATGCAAAGAGAGGTGGTTTGACATGCCCATGTCATTAATGCTATGCTCTACACCGCGTAGGTGTGGTCACCACGGACCCAACCAAAGCAGTGTTTCAACTACAGCCAATGGAGACACATGCAGGTGTCGTGTGGAAAGGCAGCCCGGTGCTGTGAGTGAGCCGGTGCTTACCAAAACTGGGGCTGTCCTAGGAAAAGAGGTTCTTGCACGGATTGAGGCAGAGAATACCGTTTTGGCATAAAGCAGAGTGTCGAAAATGCTAGGTCTCCGAAGAGAGTGTGGAGATGGCTCGGTTGTAGCTTCTATTGAGAACAGCAGAGATATGGAGTGAAATACCTACAATGGCGTCAAAGCGAACAGATGGAACGCATTATGATCAGGGACAAACTCTAGTCACCAGTAAAGAGGCTAAAGGATCCAAAACAAGACCGGGAAGAAGGTATAAGGTAGAGGAAGCCTCTGTTGTAATCTAACGCTTTTCATCCTCAGACTTCATGGTGAGCAGTAGTTGTATAGCACGTGATGCCATGTGGGGGAGAAGGAAGAGGATGGCGAAAGCCGCTAGCCAGATCTAAACGATCTGGTCCACTTGTACATGGAGAAATCATTTTATGTATATAGACATTACAACCCTAACTAGTAAAACAACAATAGTAAGGAACTCATACATCTGCACCTCTGTTATCTCATACATCGTGACCCATAAACCTCACTCTCATATCTATCACTCCACGACAAAGCTTCAACAGCCTCAACGGTATCATCATATTGGCCGACTCCTTGAACACTTACACGAACCACGCAGCCGAGGGCAAGACTGAACACCTGTACGCGGCGTCCTCTACAAACCTGGGAGTGAAATATTCTCCTAGAGTCAAGTTTAGTCAAATTTCGCAATATCAAAGAAGTGTGCCCACGAGGCAATGTTTCAAAATACTCCACGTTGTTTTTTTTCGCTCCTAACGAGTTTGGCTCCTATCTCAGTCTCATCAAGTCTACAGGTACGACCAAGTACATCCTCATCCCAATGACCACACCACTCTTCGACCTTCTCTGGCCTCAGTTGACCACCAAATACACGCCCACGCCGATATTTTTACCTGACGGAAGAAGCAAAGCGTGGCGCACAAATCTGGGAGATAGTTCATTGGGATGGACGTGAGGGAGATTAGGACAAGTTTAAAAGATGATGCAAAGGAAGGACTTAACATCAACGGGCGTGAAATTACGAATTTTGGCAAGAGTTTTACGAATTGAGCTTTGTGCGCGCCAAGACTTCGCTTGCGAAAGTGCAACTTACACAATAAACACAAGCAAACGATGAAAGGTGTTGTGGTCCGCCTCCTGGTGGAGTTCTCCGGTATAGTCTGAGTAGCCTGGGCCCCTACTCCACTCGGGAATGAGACGCCTCAGGCCATATTTCGCACGGAGAAAATTTGAAAGATGATGGAGGCATGTCTGGATAACTCAGGGTTTTTGAGACGTTTCCCTGGGTGGGTATTCACGGATGAGGATTGACTTGGGGTGAAGAAAAAGCTATCATAACCTCGCAGTTGTACTTGCAAATGAAATCTGAGTGTCACAGTTTCAGTACAAAATGCTTGGGCGATCTTGTAAGTACAGTATATTAATTATTATTCTCTGGAGAGAGAATTCCTCAATGTAAAGTCTACATATATATACATTCTAAATTACTACCCTTCAAGATGATTCTCCCTGTGACCTAAATAATTGAGACGCTTCTTCTCGAGGAGTGTGTATGCTATTTGTCCACAGGGTACAAGTGTGAGTAGATAGGGGGCCAAGGTCTTCCACAAGAAGAGACAGAGGGCACGTCGTGATCTGATACGAGTACGGGCTCGAAGTGGTCTTCACAAGGAAGAGATGGAATATCTAGATTGAGAATAATATTGAAAAGACGTTGCGTGAAGAAGGCAACTCGACTGGAGGCTACGCTTTATTATGTACATGCTCGTACTTCACTATTACGTTACCTTTCCATACTCAGGCCTGCTAGATTTGTATGCTAATAGTAAACCATCATTCTAACCCCTGTTATTATTCCGTGAATCTTCTACAACTACCTAGAAGGTTCTCGGTACACTTGTTATCCTCATGAACCTTCAGTGTGTTTCCAGAAGGTTCACTGAGAATATTCGTAGTTCTGTGGCCCTCGAGACCTTCCCCTTGTGCCATAGTCTACGCTAGCCAGTGTAGGCTACAGGAGGTTTTCAGCTTAACAGCTGTCACACTGAGGTATGAATGCCCTTCCTTTACGTTGAATCATCTATTCTGTACTTTTCTTTGATATTGTGTCATAGCTAGATAGCTGCATACGCAATTAAAATCTGATGCAAAAAAAAGAACCACGCAGCATGAGGAGGTACCTACTCTTTTCAATTTCACCTGGCTTTTGTAACAAAAGTGTCATGTTGGATATCCCAAATATAAAGTAAGATATCTATTATATATGCAGATCTAATTTTGTGTCTTTTTAGGCCAGTTGACGCATTGGTAAAGCTATCTCACTATTTGCAGCAGTATGTGTCCATTACTACATGGACATGTGCTGTGACAGCTTTAGTCTAATTAAAGGAAGAACTTATGAAATTTGCGGCAGGTTTATGAGATCACAGTTGAGATGAACGTTCTCAATACGAAGCTCGGTCAGTTCAAATTGGCAGGACATCAGGGTTAGTTTTCTGAAAGCATTTTCCCTAACCAAAGCAGCTTACCGTATTCCTGGCTCTTTAAATTAGATAAAAAATAGGATTTTAAATAAGAATAAACTATTATTATATATCACCTGAATTATCATAGTTTTCGGTTTATCTAAAACGAAGGTTGATTTGTCATCATGTGGGGATCACATGACGACCTCAGCACAGAAGTGCTAGTCAGAATCCAAAGTAAAGCTGTGAATCCTGTGTAGCATAGACAAGATAATTATGAACATT